GTGTGTGAGTGTGTGAGTGAGTGTGTGTGAGAGTGAGTGAGTGAGTGAGTGAGTGAGTGAGTGAGTGAGTGAGGTGTGTGTGTGAGTGTGTGTGTGTGTTTAGTGTGTGTGTGTGTGTGTGTGTGTGTGTGTGTGAGAGAGTGAGTTAGTGAGTGTGTGTGTGTGTGTATTAGTGTGTGTGGGTGTTTAGTGTGTGTGTGTGTATTAGTGTGTGTGTGTGCGTGTGTGTATTAGTTTGTGTCTGTGTATAGTTTGTGTTTAGTGTGTATTAGTGTGTGTGTGTGTGTTTAGTGTGTGTATTAGTGTGTGTGTGTGTTTAGTGTGTGTGTGTGTGTGTATTAATGTATTAGTGTGTGTGTGCGTGTGTGTATTAGTGTGTGTGTGTGTATAGTGTGTGTTTAGTGTGTGTGTGTGTAGGGCTGCAGAGCCGTGTCTGTTGTCCCGCTGAGGTCCAGATGGCCGCTCCGGTGTCTGTGGTGGGAGCGTCTCCTCTGCTATTATCAGGACTAATCTGCAGCAGTGGGGTGTGACGGCAGGCGTATTGCACACATCACGTGGGAACATACTGAAGGTGGAACCGCAGGAGAAACACAGCTAACATGATGAATGAGATCCCTGAGGAACAACAAACACAGCCTGATGGGAGGTCCATCTGCACTGGGATCAGCTCATGTGACAAACGGCTGCTGGACGGTAAAAGCAAAGCGACGCGGCGGACGCTGCTTTAATGTAAGGCTTTCTGTGGCGTCGTCCCGCTCAAGTCAGGATGTGACCTTTTAATGGTATTTACTTCCTCTTATCTGTAGAGCAAAAGGTCAGGTATAAATCGACCCGCGTCACACCTGGAGAATTGGGTTTATGTGCCGCCACGTGAATATTGAGAGCGTCCAGCAGTGCCGGTCCATCACAGCATCGTATACATTATACACTGCAGAGCTGTGCTTATTTTGTCTTCTGGGAAACATCTGCTCTAAGTAAGAATATGCAAATATCTCCTGTAGCTCCTGAAGGCCAGTAATAAGTGAAAATATAAGATCTTTGAACGAAATTACAACAATGTACACCGATCATCCTGTTCAAAGACTCCTAAAGCACTGTGTTTGCGTCCTGAGCGTCAGTGCATTATAATAGTTGTGTTTGAGTGTCTCAGTCGTTCTCAGTGTGAAAGATGAACCTCAACATCATGCAGTCACTGCTGGGAAGAGCGCAAATGTGCAGAAGAGAATATGCAAAGTGAATATAGTGCACAATGGACACTATTTCAGCAGCTTTACAGTAACATTACAGTAATAATGACTTAAATTCTGTCTCATCCTTATTTAAATATTCAGTTGTATAAAGAACATGATGCATTCATGTATTTAACCCCAGTGCTCAGCTCTCGTCTGGATATACAGCAGCACACTTCACTCCAGCTCATTTAGTAGTTCGGTCAACATGAAGCTGAAGGATATTGATTGAACTGTAAAGTGAAGGATTATTTGTCTATAAGGTCCGTCCGTGTTGTTCAGGCTGCGGTCGCATCTGACCGGTTATTAGCAGTGCTTCGTTATTCATGAAGTCCTTCTTCAGATGCAGGTGCTGGTGACCACACTGCTGTAGTCCAGCTGGCAGCAAATGCATATGAAATACTGATGAACGAACATGATTTATTCTGTGAAGACAGAGGAGATCACCGAGACGACCATCAGTCATACAGTTTAGAGACAAATGAGACCCAGAATGAGAGACATGTGACATGATGTCCTGTTTCTGATTGTATCATGTGATCTCAGATTCTGATGTTTTGCGTATGAATGGGTTTCCCAGAATATATGAGACAAACCATTCCCGTCTGAAACCAAACCTTAGAAAGAGAGAAAGAGAGCGTGGAATCTGAATGTGCTATAGTTTTGTGAATCCTCCTGATGTTCAGCATATCTTCAGTGCTTCAGGAGTCATTCAGGCTGCTTCACATGATGAGATCTCTGCTCATTTTCTCTTGGATTTTACTGTGATTGTTTTAGTTCTATCAGCAGAAACATTATTTTTTTCAGCTGATGCATCTGTTTTCACGGAGCAAACACACAGGTCTTCATATTTGCACAGATTACACATCTGTTAAAATACATGTGCTTTGCATGTTCCTTGACCAGCTCAGCATGAGTGAGAGACGTTCAGAGCGCTGATGTTAATGAAACACCTGAGTGAACAACACCATTATGCTTTTTCAGAAGAAAAAACCCTCGTGCATCACATATATTAGAGCAAAAACCGCTGAGATCCTCATTTGTAAATGCTCACCTCATGATAGGAACAGTATGGTGATAATATAGAGGTGACAGCCAGTGTTGGGGGTAATGGAGTTACGTAATCAGGTTACTTTTTTCAATGCATTACTTTTTAATTTACAAGAAAATATACTTTTCAATTTTTAATTTACAAGAAAATTACTTTTTCAAATAGTTTTCTCATGTATTGACTTTATTTAATGCCATTTTATTAACCAGTGTCTTTGCTTCTGACTTTCAGTGATCCAATTCCAGTGTGTTTGTTTCTTCTTTTATTGCTGAAGAGTGTTGAACTTTCTTCTCCTGAGTCCTATTCTTCATGTAATCCAGAATGGCAGCACAGCTGAAGGTTTCTTTGAGCAGCGCGCTCTACTGTACAGACGTGAATGTACATTTCCTTCAGCCTGAGGATTATTCATTTCACTTTTGGTGTGAAAGGGCTTTTACATTTGCCAAAAATTGAAGTTTTTATATTTAAAACAAACAAGCAAGCCCAGCCCAGATAAGAAAAAGTAACGAATTCCCATAAAAAGTAACACAATTAGTTACTTTTTTTAGGGAGTAACGCGATATTGTAATGCATTACTTTTAAAAGTAACACTGGTGACAGCATCGTCCTATGTGATGTTCTGTGTTTGTGATACAGTGGACGGCGCTGATATCAGAGCGATCTATCATCGGATCTGCAGTCATTAGTCTGCTCATCTTCATCAGTATGATGTTCAATAGACTGAGTTGATATTCACACGCCTCTCATAATGATCATCTATCAGCCGCGACCCGCTTCATTGCTCCTCTGATGATTGAAGCAAATACTTGAACAAGACTGAGTGCTTCTGGTTTCTCTTTGACCTAGAAAGTCACAGGGAAACCGCACTATATTCACCACTAACACTCATTTGTGTGACATAATATTGTAGTGTATTCTGATATTCATGAATGTGTAATATTGATCTTCTAGCAGCTGTTTTCTCAGTGTCTCATGAGAAAAGCATGTGATGCTCTTATATTTGTCGCTCTGCGGTCTGTGACGTCACTAGTGATTGTGTTGCATGACATCATCAGAGTCATTAGTCACATGACAGGCTCCGCTGATTGGCTTAGAAAATGTGTATTAGTTTTATCACAGTCTCATTTCTCCTGTCCTGGAGTGGCTGAAGTAAAAGCATCTCGTCTCTGATGGATTGAGATGCTCCAGGAATGGGTAGGATATACTTCAACGTAAGACTGTGGTAAACGGTGTCAGGATCAATGTATCAGTTTCCGTTCAGGTCAGGAGTCTGTTCTGCTCACACAAACACATACATACTAATGAACAAAGAGCCGCTAATTAGATAAGACAGGGATTGTTTCAAACAAGGCACAACAGCACGGCACAGATTCGTCGCCTTATAATTGATATTAAAGGCTGTTAAATACGGTGACGGGCGGACGTGATCTGTCACCAGAACAAAGAAGCACGATGAAGAGAGAAACGTGTCAAACTCTCAGTGACGTTTTGTTATAGATGTCGAATTCGCTCGTTAGTTAAAGCGATGAGACGTTCAGATGCTTTGGTCCCATTCCTGTTTTCAGCAAGAGCTTCTCTGGGAAGATATAAACCCGTCTGTCGGTAGGAGACCGCGGGAGATACGAGCATATGGTGACACAATTGGAACAAATAAAATTTGTGAGTGCAGGTTTTCAAAGCTGGAATCTATTCTGCAAATTAATTTATAATTAGATTTTCCTCTCTGGTCAATTCCTTCAATTCCCCACCAGTCGCTTTATTGATTTCTGTTCATGGGACACACAACCATCCCACAGCACCAATACACACACACACACACACACACACGCACACACATTCGCATACAC